TTCAATTTTAAGATCTGTTCCAATGTAAAACACCAAAAAAAAAAAAATAAAATAAAATAAACTCGATATAAAATATAAAGTAAAAATTTATAATTTTATGCAGCATGACTGTTGATCGTATATATAAGCAGAGAGCAACTTCTTTGATGACGGGTAATAGCAGCAAAGAATGGTTGAAGACACTGATCCACCTTGAATAAATGCTAACAATTAACGAGTAAATATTAAAACTGAAGCAAAATAAGAATAAAATTAAAATTTTTTTAAGATGCTGTGAATACCTGTAAATCGTATCAAAAAATCTGTTCAAAAGCTGAGAGTATTAAGAATACACAGTAATATTTCATTTTTCCCCTCCTTCCCGTCTATTCTAAAGAGAATAGCATTCTTCCTTGCTCTTTTTCTGCGTTCGGCAACTATCGGTCAACTTCCCTTTATAGTTCTTTACTACAAGGCAAAGAACGCTAGAGAAAGATGACCTACTAAAGCTTTTTTCTCGAGAAGTTTCTCTTAGAATGTTTTGCTCTCAAAAATCAGAAATATGTGTGACAATTCATGAAAATCTCTTAAAATACGATAAGTTTAATGCTTGATTAAGGGATAAATTACAAGACAAATGTGAAAAGCAATTTGATTACAGGAAGCACAACTAAGAACAACCCAAACGTTTGAAAAAAACAGAATTTTCTTTGTCAGTTTTCTTATCACTTTAGCAAAAATAACAATAATTTTACAGAAAATATTGTAGCAACTATCACTTTGAATATCAAATTTACAAAACCGAATGATTTAAATGAGGTATTCTATTAGCGAAAAAAAAAAGAGAACTGAAGAATAATATCAGTTTAATAGTTACTTTACGCTCAAAACTGACTACAGAGTTGTAGAAAGTTTGAATAAATAATTTTAAGAAACTAATGTACTTCCTGAATTTTATATTTTAAAAATAAAACACTGAAAGAAATTATGCAGTGAAAAATTAAATTTATCTTAAAGTACCTATGACTTTCTATTTTATTCAGTAGATAAAGAGTTACAGGTAAAATAATATTACAGTGATTCAGTCGAAAAAACTAAAAATAAAAAAATTAATAGAAAATTAGTATCATTAAAAATTTGCTCAGTTTTGTTGAAAATTGTAGAGCAATAAAAGTGTCAATAAAAAATTAAAGCTAGAGTAGAGCAGATTGTCTTTTGCAATAAACCTGGCCTTACTTCGCAGTGAACCTCTAACACATTCTAATCGCGATGGTTTTTTACCATAGCAGATAAGCAGAACTTTCAGCAAAATAAAAAGTTGCTAAAACATTTATAACCAAAATCATCAACCTAAATTGAGAATTGTGTTTAACAATTAGCATCAATTCGCAAAAGTTTTTGCAACTTTATTCGTTGCCAATTTGCTCTAAAAATTTTCAGTTGTTTATTACTGGTCACCTTAATTATAGTACAGTTGTATATTGTCTTTCTAAATGGTGTACAGAAGAAACTAAAGATTAGTCTTAGTTGAAGTTTTTTAGCTCGTCTTTTTCTTCTCATAGATATTGCGCCGTTACTTCACAGATGGGCTCTTTATAGGCTTCAGGTATTGCAGAAAACTAACAGTACGATAACGATTGTTTTGCTTCTTAGGCAAACTTTGAGAACTTTATAGGTAAAAATTAACAGAAACAAATCAAATCCTTCTTTACTGAAGCAGTGATGTAAAATACAAAAGAAATTTTTTGTTTTTTTATTACCACAAGAATTCTTCTGCAATATTTTTTTGAAACTGCTGACAATATTCAGTAGTTTCATTGTTGATAACTTTAGTAGACAGGTTTCAACTGCTTACTGTTAGCTATCTCTTTTAGCACACAAAAATAGTAAGACAGTAACTGAGTGAAGCCTTTTGAAGTTCTAGTTTAATGTGTTCTAAAAATTCAGTTTATCAGAATGCATTGAAAAAACAGCTTTACATTGTTCAATGTTTTTTTTAATGAAAAATCGATGCATAACTTTATTCTGGCTAAAGTGTCAAACTTTTTTTTTGCTATTTTTGTGGCAAAAGTTATTTCTTCTACTTATAAAGCGCAGTAATTATTCTTCGTAGCTGTGTAATAATCGGAATAGCGAAAGGATGAAAGCTGGACTTTTTCTGTTCATTGTATGATGATGACTTTTAGAAAGCAGTTAAATCTTTTGAAAGCGGGTTAATTCAAAGGACAACAGAAGTCAGTAATATAGTAAAACTGATAAATTGATTTTTTCAATTTCAAACATTAGAATTATTATTTTTTTGCTTAACTTTCACTTTGAGTTTCATGCAGTATTTTCTGATATGATGAATCAGAACTTGAGAAGAGACTTTTGTGTGTAGGGAACTGTCCATTTCACGACAGTCTACTGACGTTGTAGCAGATCATAAAAAAATTAAACCGACGTTATCACTAAACATTGGTGATGGCTGTAGGTTTCAACGACATTTTTGCATTCTAAATATACTTTCAAATGTCCATTAAAAAAAAAAGAAGTTGAAAAGTTGTCTGCTTTTGTAATTTATACGCATTATTTTACTACACTGTATTTTAGTTGCGTATCAATATTGCTCAAAACTCTTTTTCAGGAAATAAGCTTAAATACCAGTGTTTAGGTTGTTTATCTATTCGTGCGTAACAGATTACAAAAATAGCTTAACCTAAATAAAGTTTTAAGTGAAAAAGCTAAAAATTTTTTTGTCTTAGTTGGATATAAAAATAGTTCAGTCTTTCAAAGTTTTTATTTTATTTGATAAAGTTTAAAACTAAAATCTATCAATGAAATTTGAAATACTGACAGATACAAATGCTGAAACGAAATAACTTTTCTGTCGTTTCATTGAAAAAAACCAAGATTTAAGAAAATGTAAATTAAAAAGTACTGCATATTTTTTTAGAAAAGAAAAGTTTCTTACATGAAGTATTGTTATTGTTGGTCATTTTTGTGGGTTCAGATTACAGTTACATCTTAGTTTGAGCCCGGAGCCCGGTTTTAGCTTCTAAAAAAACGAAGCTATCCTGAATGAAAGAGTGGAAGAACAATGTTTTGCTTTTATAGACAGACTGTTAACTTTTACTTTAAAACCCAATAGGTACAACATTATGACAGTATCAAAATATTCTTATCAGTAAGCTTTTTTTTGCGTTAAAGCAAAATCGACAAAAAACAGAAAAAAAAACATCGTTCTACTTAAGCAATAGTTTTTTGATCAATGTTTGTTACACTCATTTAGTGCCTATTTTGACGTTTAACAATACCGTTGTATGCTGTAATCGTGCAAAAGGTAAGTGTTAAAGAAGTCAAAAGATTTTTTTTTAAATTATATCTAGGTCTAATAAAAAGTTTAAGCTTATTTTCATTAGTTTTCTAAAACGACTTATAATTCTCTGTGTTACAGTGACAAAATAATTATACTAATTTATGCTGGAAACTACATGAGAAAAGTTATTTGCCATTCAATTTATGTTCACCAAGTCAACACCAAGTTAATACTATTTTTTTTTGAACAACAAACGATTCCTTCAGAACTATAAGATCAGAAAGAGCTGTTCTCGTGCAAGCGTTAAAAATTGCAAAAAACAAAGATGATACATATGTTAAATGTTTTTTGTCACTTTTAAAAATACATTTTCACTTTACTAATTTTACTACCGTTTACAATGCTGTGTATAATATTATCTTCTAAGAAATACTATTTTCCAAACTCCTTTTTTTAAATATTGTAAATTTTTATGGTCCTTCTAAACAATGCTTTGTACCACTGAAAAAATTCATTATATTGATTGAATTAATCATTATGCTAATGGAAATTCCCTACCTATTTTTTTTGGCATGTTATTTTGAACAATTAACGCTAGACACTGCTTTTTTTAGCGGAACACAAAACAGTAATGGCCCGCTTGAGTTTTCTTCCAAATTCTTTTGAAAAAGTATCGAAAATTTAGTCTGGTTTTAATGCCTAAATCTCAGACTTTCATAAATCATTTTAAAAACAACATTTTTTTAACCTGATAATATTCTCTAAAAATAGGTTTTTTTAGAAAGGGGGGAGGGAAAACGGAAAAGGGGAGAAGGGAAAATAAGGTTTGCTGCTTGCTTTATTAGCTCTCAAACTGACAATATCAGCACCAAATCAATTTTATTTTATAGTTTACTGATAAGGGCAAAAGACTTTTAAAGGCGAACAACTGCTGCCATTTAGATAACAGTTTGGTGTATTGGTGTGGGTGTGTTTAATTCAATCATGTTTCTGGAAGCACTTTTGAATCCTGAAAGTGTATTGCTTATTCATGGTTGTCAATTTTCTCATAGCGATCATTCTACGTAAAAAAAATTTTGGCAATTTAAGTTTCGGCTGTCAGTTCTGTTCCCTCCTTAAAATATGCTATGTAACGAAAAAAGGAAACAAAAATTAACCAATTTACCTGTCTATTTTTCAGAATTATCGTTCACTATA